ATCTGTGATCGAGCCTATTGGTCCCGTATCGGCCATTTTAGTCACCTCAAAACTTACCAACCTAGGTGACATCCTTAATAACTCATATCATTGTATCATAGCTGGATGATCGTCATACTCGATTCCGAGTGACAGCAAAGTAGTAGTAGTGTGAGAGAGAGAGAGAGAGAGAGAGAGAGAGAGAGAGAGAGTATGTCTATTAGCCGAAAAATTATTATCATGTCAGCTTAAACAAGCACATCTCCATGCTTATTATTTGTGTAAATTTATTGAGTTCAAAATTACATGAACTTCATTCTTAGGATCACACACTCTTACACATGTCCCCAAAATAATATTGTGACAACTTTGAAATATTGATATGATCCATTAATAATAGAGTTTTGTCACTTACAGGGGCAGTGCGCAGAGGGTGGCTGAGCTGACGGAGATAACGGCCTACAACAGGGAGTCTCTGGCTAACCTCATAGACACGAAGACGAACTCCTACACCAGTATCGGCGCTGGCCTTTCCTTGGCTATTAATGACGTGGGTATTTCTCGGTTAAGTGACATGTATTACTGAAATTTTACCACTTTATATTAGTTTTATTTCCAGGCATAAGTTGTCAAACCAAGGTGATGAAACTGGCATAAAAGTGTTTTAAAGTTAAAGGTCTCTAGAAAGCCTTGATGCAAATGAAACTTTAGGTTGACATGTTACTTCAATGCATCCGAGGTCTTCCACTTGTACTGCATATACTAAACTTCGTCCGGTTATATAAGCTAAGACCAGAGATGGGCAGTAAAGCATCTGACAATACTCATTTACGTATTTAAATGCAATTTGTATTTAATTACAGTGTTTATAAATAGAGTTTTGAGAGAGTATCTAAATGCGCATTTAATTATATTTTCAGATGCATTTAGCATTTATAAACACGATAATTACAAATGCGTTTGTAAATATATTATGCAATTACAGTATATATTGGGGTCATTATATAACATATTATGTTATATTCCGAAACTTTTACAATAATTTTGGCGAAATTCCACCAGTTTGTGGACTTCAGGTTGCTATTGAGAAATGTAAAGAAATATAAATATTTTTGTAAATAGTAAAAGTGCATTGGAAGCTTTGAAGAGTTAAAATCCATGTAACTTTCATATTGTTAATATCTGTAAACGACTGGTCATAGTAATGCAAGAAATGGAATGTACTGTGCAGTTTGTATGGATTCCATCACATGTGGAGATTCATTAAAATGAAATGGCTGAAAATTTGGCCAAAAAAGCTGCAGAAAAAAATATGTATATAGATATTGTTAGCAATGGAAGTATTAGAACGATAAAGAGGGAAATAAAAAGAAAAAGAGAGGAATGGGAAAAAGCAAGAAGAGAAGTGACTGCCGTATGTAGCGAGAGTTTTCAGCATTATTATTTGTATGTTTTACAAAACACCAATGTAACTTACGGGACTAACTTACCATCTGTTGATACTGTTATAATGAGACTAAGATTGAGATACAAATATTACTGGAGGGGCGGGCCAACTGTGTCGTCTTAGGGATGCCCCATACACTACAACATTATGTATTAGCATGTGAAAAAATCCAACCATCCAGGAACAGTGAGATCACTACTTTAAGGAAACAAGTTTGTTGGATGATTAATAATGGAAAAATTAAAATAATTCTTGTATAAACATTTTGCTCCAAGCATATGACATTTATCTTTGTGTAAGATTACATTATCTGCTCTTTTAATGTAGTACGGTGTTCATGCTAAAATGAACTATTTCATTGGTGCAAAATATTGTTAAAATATTTATAACTTTTTGTAAACCCCAGAAGTAGATGACAAAGGTGAGGGTGGGAGTACTATACTACCCTGTCCTTTTGATGTTATAGTTCTATTGTCAATAAAGTATTTACATTTCGATTGCAATTTCAATTTCAGAGAGAGAGAGAGAGAGAGAGAGATATTATAAAAAAAACAAAATCTGTGTCTAAGTTTGGGTAGTACGTCTCAGACTTGATCATTAGTAACTGGTTAATCACTTGTTCTCCCACACGCTGGCAGCCGCTGGTGATCAAGGACAAGAAGAACGCCATCATTCTCTTAATTACTGACGGAGAGGAAACGAAAAAACCGCACATCAGCGACGTCATGACCAACGTCATCAATTCAGGAGCCAGAGTCGTCACAGTCGCCTTCGGGTACAGTACACTGTCTTCCTCAAGTACACTGTCTTCCTCAAGGACACTGTCTTCCTCAAGTACACTGTCTTCCTCAAGGACACTGTCTTCCTCAAGTACACTGTCTTCCTCAAGTACACTGTCTTCCTCAAATACACTCTCTTCCTCAAATACACAATCTTCCTCAAATACACTCACCTTCCTCAAATACACTATCTTCCTCAAATATACTGTCTTCCTTAAGTACATTGTCTTCCTCAAATACACTGTCTTCCTCAAATACACTGTCTTCCTCAAATACACTGTCTTCCTCAAATACACTGTCTTCCTCAAGTACACTGTCTTCCTCAAATATACTGTCTTCCTTAAGTACATTGTCTTCCTCAAATACACTGTCTTCCTCAAATACACTGTCTTCCTCAAATACACTGTCTTCCTCAAGTACACTGTCTTCCTCAAGTACACTGTCTTCCTCAAGTACACTGTCTTCCTCAAATACACTGTCTTCCTCAAATACACCGACTTCCTCATATACACTGTCTTCCTCAAATACACTGTCTTCCTCAAATACACCGACTTCCTCATATACACTGTCTTCCTCAAATACACTGTCTTCCTCAAATACACCTTCTTCCTTAAATACACTCTCTTCCTCAAATACACAATATTTCTCAAATACACCGTCTTCCTCATATACACTGTCTTCCTCAAATACACTGTCTTCCTCAAATACACCGACTTCCTCAAATACACTCTCTTCCTCAAATACACTCTCTTCCTCAAATACACTGTCTTCCTCAAATACACCGACTTCCTCATACACACTGTCTTCCTCAAATACACTCTCTTCCTCAAATACACTCTCTTCCTCAAATACACTGTCTTCCTCAAATACACCGACTTCCTCAAATACACTCTCTTCCTCAAATACACTCTCTTCCTCAAATACACTGTCTTCCTCAAATACACCGACTTCCTCAAATACACTCTCTTCTTCAAATACACTCTCTTCCTCAAATACACTGTCTTCCTCAAATACACCGACTTCCTCATACACACTGTCTTCCTCAAATACACTGTCTTCCTCAAATACACCGACTTCCTCAAATACACCTTCTTCCTCAAATACACTCCCTTCCTCAAATACACTCGCTTCCTCAAATACACTCTCTTCCTCAAATACACTGTCTTCCTCAAATACACTTTCTTCCTCAAATACACTGTCTTCCTCAAATACACTTTCTTCCTCAAATACACCTTCTTCCTCAAATACACTCTCTTCCTCAAATACACTCTCTTCCTCAAATACACTGTCTTCCTCAAAATACCTGCGACACCACTCATATACACTTTATCTTCCTCAAATACACTAATATTCCTCAAATACACCGACTTCCTCAAATACACCTTCTTCCTCAAATACACTCCCTTCCTCAAATACACTCGCTTCCTCAAATACACTTTCTTCCTCAAATACACTTTCTTCCTCAAATACACTTTCTTCCTCAAATACACTGTCTTCCTCAAATACACTTTCTTCCACAAATACACCGACTTCCTCATACACACTGTCTTCCTTAAATACACTTTCTTCCTCAAATACACCTTCTTCCTCAAATACACTTTCTTCCTCAAATACACTTTCTTCCTCAAATACACTGTCTTCCTTAAATACACTCTCTTCCTCAAATACACTGTCTTCCTCAAATACACTGTCTTCCTCAAATACACCTTCTTCCTCAAATACACTTTCTTCCTCAAATACACTGTCTTCCTCAAATACACTCTCTTCCTCAAATACACTTTCTTCCTCAAATACACTTTCTTCCTCAAATACACTGTCTTCCTTAAATACACTGTCTTCCTCAAATACACTCTTCCACAAATACACTCTCTTCCACAAATACACTTTCTTCCTCAAATACACTTTCTTCCTCAAATACACTGTCTTCCTCAAATACACTCGCTTCCTCATATACACTGTCTTCCTCAAATACACTTTCTTCCTTAAATACACTCTCTTCCTCAAATACACTGTCTTCCTCAAATACACTGTCTTCCTCAAGTACACTCTTTTCCTCAAGTACACTGTCTTCCTCAAGTACACTGTCTTCCTCAAATACACTGTCTTCCTCAAATACACTGTCTTCCTCAAGTACACTCTTTTCCTCAAATACACTGTCTTCCTCAAATACACTGTCTTCCTCAAATACACTGTCTTCCTCAAATACACCTTCTTCCTTAAATACACTCTCTTCCTCAAATACACTGTCTTCCTCAAATACACTGTCTTCCTCAAGTACACTCTTTTCCTCAAGTACACTGTCTTCCTCAAGTACACTGTCTTCCTCAAATACACTGTCTTCCTCAAATACACTGTCTTCCTCAAGTACACTCTTTTCCTCAAGTACACTGTCTTCCTCAAGTACACTGTCTTCCTCAAATACACTGTCTTCCTCAAATACACTGTCTTCCAAAAATACACTCTCTTCCTCAAATACACTGTCTTCCTCAAATACACTGTCTTCCTCAAATACACTGTCTTCCACAAATACACCTTCTTCCTCAAATACACTGTCTTCCTCAAATACACTGTCTTCCTCAAATACACTGTCTTCCACAAATACACCTTCTTCCTCAAATATACTCTCTTCCTCAAATACACTCTCTTCCTCAAATACACTGTCTTCCTCAAATACACTGTCTTCCTCAAATACACTGTCTTCCACAAATACACTGTCTTCCTCAAATACACCTTCTTCCTCAAATACACTCTCTTCCTCAAATACACTCTCTTCCTCAAATACACTGTCTTCCTCAAATACACTGTCTTCCTCAAATACACTGTCTTCCACAAATACACTGTCTTCCTCAAATACACTGTCTTCCTCAAATGCACTGTCTTCCACAAATACACCTTCTTCCTCAAATACACTGTCTTCCTCAAATACACCGACTTCCTCAAATACACCTTCTTCCTTAAATACACTCTCTTCCTCAAATACACTGTCTTCCTCAAATACACTGTCTTCCTCAAATACACCGACTTCCTCAAATACACCTTCTTCCTTAAATACACTCTCTTCCTCAAATACACCTTCTTCCTCAAATACACTGTCTTCCTCAAGTACACTGTCTTCCTCAAGTACACTGTTTCCTCAAATACACTGTCTTCCTCAAATACACCTTCTTCCTCAAATACACCTTCTTCCTCAAATACACTGTCTTCCTCAAGTACACTGTCTTCCTCAAGTACACTGTTTCCTCAAATACACTGTCTTCCTCAAATACACTGTCTTCCTCAAATACACCTTCTTCCTCAAATACACTGTCTTCCTCAAGTACACTGTCTTCCTCAAATACACTGTCTTCCACAAATACACCTTCTTCCTCAAATACACCTTCTTCCTTAAATACACTTTCTTCCTCAAATAAACCTTCTTCCTTAAATACACCGACTTCCTCAAATACACTGTCTTCCTCAAGTACACTGTCTTCCTCAAGTACACTGTCTTCCTTAAATACACCTTCTTCCTCAAATACACTGTCTTCCTCAAGTACACTGTCTTCCTCAAGTACACTGTCTTCCTTAAATACACTGTCTTCCTCAAATACACCGACTTCCTCAAATACACCTTCTTCCTTAAATACACTCTCTTCCTCAAATACACCTTCTTCCTCAAATACACTGTCTTCCTCAAGTACACTGTCTTCCTCAAGTACACTGTCTTCCTTAAATACACTGTCTTCCTCAAATACACCGACTTCCTCATATACACTGTCTTCCTCAAATACACTGTCTTCCTCAAATACACCGACTTCCACAAATACACTCTCTTCCTCAAATACACTCTCTTCTTCAAATACACTGTCTTCCTCAAATACACTGTCTTCCTCAAATACACTGTCTTCCTCATATACACTGTCTTCCTCAAATACACTGTCTTCCTCAAATACACCATTTCCTCCAAATACACTCTCTTCCTAAATACTGTCTTCCTCAAATACACCTTCTTCCTTAATACCTCTCTTCCTCCAAATACACTCTCTTCCTCAAATACCTCTCTTCTTCAAATGCACTGTCTTCCTCAAATACACTGTCTTCCTCAAATACACCTTCTTCCTTAAATACACTCTCTTCCTCAAATACACTCTCTTCTTCAAATACACTGTCTTCCTCAAATACACTCTCTTCCTCAAATACACTCTCTTCTTCAAATACACTGTCTTCCTCAAATACACTGTCTTCCTCAAATACACTGTCTTCCTCATATACACTGTCTTCCTCAAATACACTGTCTTCCTCAAATACACCGACTTCCTCAAATACACTCTCTTCCACAAATACACTGTCTTCCTCAAATACACCTTCTTCCTTAAATACACTCTCTTCCTCAAATACACTCTCTTCCTCAAATACACTCTCTTCTTCAAATACACTGTCTTCCTCAAATACACTGTCTTCCTCAAATACACCTTCTGCCTTAAATACACTCTCTTCCTCAAATACACCGACTTCCTCAAATACACTCTCTTCTTCAAATACACTGTCTTCCTCAAATACACCTTCTTCCTTAAATACACTCTCTTCCTCAAATACACTCTCTTCCTCAAATACACTGTCTTCCTCAAATACACCGACTTCCTCATATACACTGTCTTCCTCAAATACACTGTCTTCCTCAAATACACAAACTTCCTCAAATACACTCTCTTCCTCAAATACACTCTCTTCCTCAAATACACTGTCTTCCTCAAATACACTCTCTTCCTCAAATACACTTTCTTCCTCAAATACACCTTCTTCATCAAATACACTTTCTTCCTCAAATACACTCTCTTCTTCAAATACACTGTCTTCCTCAAATACACCGACTTCCTCATACACACTGTCTTCCTCAAATACACTGTCTTCCTCAAATACACCGACTTCCTCAAATACACTCTCTTCTTCAAATACACTGTCTTCCTCAAATACACCGACTTCCTCAAATACACTCTCTTCCTCAAATACACTGTCT